GCGTATTTATTCAGCGTTCGTTTGGGAGGGACAGGTGGGAGAGGAGGAGCAAGAAGGAAGTGTGGACTCCTTCGCGAAGTCTGAATTGCTGTCTTTTAGCAACTGCCTTCATTTAAAGCTGAGTGGTTGTTGTTCTCATGGATATACGTCTGTGCTAGATTGCTCTCAGTGTATGTGCTGTGTTAAAACGCTCAATGCTGCCTGCGCCTGTATTTTGCAAACAGTCGGCTGCCAGGAGGCGGGCTTTTGGTTGGACTCCCGCTCATCCTATTTTGTATTTGATATTACAGCCTGCGATTTCCAGGCATATACCCAGTTCTCCATGAGCACGAATACATGTTTCTGTTTGCTTAGGCTCATGTATTTCCTAGGAGCTTTGCGCTAAGCAAAATGCAAGTAAATGTCAGAGAAAATACTTTCAGGACCATGCAGATGCCGTTTCACCTTGCTTCAGCAGAAAAAGCCCAGGCGCCAGATGATGCGTTGCCCCAGCACAGGAGCAGCACGAGCGGCTCCTGCTCCCTTCCACGCTGCCGCTCTGCACGGGGCCGCGGGGCTCGCGCAGGACCCAGCGCGGGGCAGGATCATATCGCCCGCGGCCGACCTGCCAGGGCGCATGCGGGCACCACTCCTAGCCTGACTGGTGATTTTGGGCATCCAAACCCTTGCCCACCTGCCTGCCCTCTCCCCATCCTTTGAGGATCGTAGCAGCATCTTCACCCCACCTTCACCCCCTCCACGGCTGGCTAACCAGCTGCCTTGCCTGGTCACAGCTTTACACCCTCCGTCTCTGCCTGACGCTCCTCTTCCCAACGGGGAGCACGGGACCGGGAGAAGAAGGTGCTCTGAACGCCGGCGAAGAGGGAAAAGCCAGCTGAGTCAGCTCTTTTGACGCTCCTGCCCTCTAGTTCCCCACTTTTCTTTCCAAGCCCTCCACGGTTATTTCAGTTTGAGTGCTGCTAGCCACATGGTTGAGATTCAGCTTGCAAAAACATACCATACGCTCGCAGCAAGGCAGATTTACCCTTTCACCTCTAGCAGCCGTTTCCTCTGAAAAGCACAAGTTTCATTTTCGCTTACAGTGAAAAACGTGGGGAGGAGGAGGGGGAGAGGAGCTCGGCTCTTTGCAAAGCGGCCGCGCGGTCCCGTGTTCATCCCCGGCACCCAACTTTCTGTGTAGGTCGTTTTGCATTATGCGGCGTGCCCTCAGGAAGGAGTTGGGGCAGCAAAAGCAAATGCACACTCCCTCATTAGCCTTGAAAGACCTGTTCCCGAGCGCTTGGGGTCAATCCCCTTCAGCAGGTTCATTTTTCTTCCCTGCAGTGTCACGAATTCGGCCATAAGCGGAAAGCAGGCTTTGGCGTAAAAGAAAATACGGTATTTGTTAAACGAAACTGAAAATTGCATGGCGCATGGGAAAGTCGGGAGGTTGGAAGGAGTTTCAGGTCCCTGCAATATATCCAAACTTACCGCAGAAATGTACTGTCGGCGAACAC